CTATTTTCCACGTCAAAACAGAACCAAATATTAGCATAATGCCATTATAGCTACATAGAATAATAGTCCAGGTAATGGCAAAAGGTATAACACATCTTGCATGAGTTGGAACAATGATGAGATCACCTTCGTTATGAATCTGCAGAAAATTCAATCAGAGGATAGCAATAGTTGAAGGCATTTAACCTCTATTAATTAAGTATACAATAAGATTGAATAATAAATTATGGAAGAAAGCATTATCAGTTTCATATCATACAGAATATATCGTGTATTTAAATTAGACATTCTGGAAGATATTAAAGTCACAGTACATTGTTCTTAAATTTATAAATCGAATTTTGTACGATTAGACTAGCAGTCTATCTAAATAAATTATACACTAAATAAAACCTGGTAATCTCGCATTATATGATGACTTATGTTAAATAATGCACTTTGGGGTGAAATTGATAAAGCATTTAGACAAATTTTGAATATTTCGGATGAAACTAGATTTTTTATTCTACATATATAACAGTTGTAGAAAGTAATTATTGGCAGATAATTCAGAAATCAAAAATACCTGGATTGTACCATTTGCTTCCTTAATCTTAATTGGATCAATCACAGTCCATAAAAATAAGGTGAAGATCTCGAATGCAACCATGCAAAAGATTATTAGATATAACTGCTTATCCTTGATAACCTAAAAATTAATTTAATAAAGATGTGCATTAATAAATAAGAAGCGAACAACTGTAGATTTGTAAGTCTAAAATTAGCATTATGGTAATAGACTGATATCAATAATTATACGCGTACGTTGCGTGTGAAGGAATATATTATGATGATAAACCATAAGAATGTAATACACATTACCTGGTATTTAACTTTGGTTTTATTAAATATTTTATAAATTCTCCAAGTTTTAGCAATTAAAGCCGCATATGCAGTAGTAAAACCTAAACAAAAAAGCCATAACTGGGACTAGAATAGAAAAAATAATAAATTTGTGGTAAGATATTTTTAATATACTAATTTTCATATCACCAAGTAAATTAATATTAGAATTATACTGCATGAATAAGATTGAGTTGTGACTTATATTCCATCTAAAATTTTGCGAATAATATTACCCAACAATGAACGATAGCAAGCTTCTCTGAAAATCGATGTTCATGGCTATCAATGCTAAATAAGATTACCGACACAAAACAGGCAATTCCAGAAAATCCAATAACGTTATTGACGTTTGGACTTGATATTTTGATGACCCTAACAACAAATGGAACAATATTTATAATATTATATACTCTAGGTTAGTTTTGTTTTAGATTCGCGTATGAATAAATTTCGACATATAATTGATCAATTATCAAGGCCCCTGTTATTTGATGCTAGGTTTTAATTAATAAGTTTGTTAATCTTCGATAATTTTATAAGTTTTGATTATTGCAATAAAAATAACCTTATTCACATCATGATACTTCCAATATTTAGGAGTTATTAAAGGCTGTGTTGACAAAACATGGCAGTATGCTTTTTATTTTGAACTATATAACAATTATTTATAGAGTTCGCTCAAATCTAGCTAAATATTTACGTATTTGAAAATTACAAGACTTCAACATGCAGACATGAAAATGTAAGGTTAAATTTTTAATTAAATGAAACTATCTTTAATAAGTAGCCAACACTAGCCTAAAATTATATCATTAATTATAATGATTTTAGACGTATAATTCGAAATTGTGCGAGAGCAGCTTACTTTTCATTTTTGTAGTAAATATTTAACGTAATAAAGGATAGCGTTAATAAGATGCCAAAAGCGGAAAGACTGCAAAGGAAAATTTGTAGGAAAAGAGGGACCGTTTCAGGAACAAGTTCGATTTTTGGCCCATCTAGCGGTGTTTTATTACCTAATTTTAAATAATAGACACACTCTCTATCTTAAATATATGTTATACATCAGAAAGAGATAGTCAATACCTAAATAGATATTATACATGAAAAACTTTGATGTCTGAGATGTAGCTCTTTTCATGATTCTATATTGGCCATATTTTGATCAGTTTATATGATTCAACTCGATTGTAAAGATGTAAGTCCTAATGATTGCTATTTTTAAAGCAAACTATGCTAAATTTATTTAAAATATAACATTTTGGCAATTATTGATAATTCTTCTCGATTTCTTAAATGTGTTTTGATGTAGACTAGGAAGATTTTTATCATTTGCTGCTCGTAAGTTATAATGATGCTAATTTCCTCTACTATCTTTTACCTGGATTAGCCCAATTAATTGGAATGGAATAATTCCATTTCATTTCCCTTTGTTCGCTACTGTAATATCCAATCGAAACATCTTTCCCGTCTTAAAATAAGAAAAATATACATAAATGAATTTAAAATTAATATTGAAAGTTTAGGACATACATTTATTTATCTAGTATAACAGATTGATTTGAAAATTAAATTTATATTATTTGTCAAATTATGACGGTACTTTAAGTAAGTTAATTATCTAGGAGTAAAATTGAGTAAAGCTATCGAGTTATTACCAATTAGCCTTTTAATAACCGCAATTGCGTTCCGATCACCAGATTTTGAAAAAGCTACTGGACCCTATAAATATTTAGCCGACAAAAATTTTGAAATTAAATTACGACGCTATATTAATGCAAAATAGCTTTAATTCGGTCGATTAACTTGTTATCCTTTACTTAAACAGTACCGATTTAACTTATGTTTATACCATAAATATAGATATAATGTCGTAATCTGGATGTATAGTTTTGGAAAGCACTGATAGTACTGGAAAATATTAAACAAGATATTTTTAAATTATAGCAAATTTGTACTAGATTATCAAATCGAATTGAGTTGATCCCTGTCTCCGTAAAAATGAGCTTATTTTGGACATGAAGTTTACAAACACACTAAAGACCCTCTTGAATATTGAGAGACAGATCAAGATATCTTTATGCTATAGCAATTTATGCTGGTACTGTATTGTCAATTCTTTCCTAAATTGGCGGTGAGGCAACCTCAAGTTCTGTAAAACTATGACTATGGTGCAAATATAAGCTAGATAGATCTATTTATTGGCCCTAACGATTGAAATAGAGTGTAATTCATTTGTTAGAATCTTAACTAGTAGCTCTATATTATCGAATTTACCGTAATCCCATTAAATTTAACTCTTTCCATGTGGAATTTCATAATTTCAAGAGCTTCTTTATCATGATATGTGACATTTTCTAACAATTTATTCTTTTTTGCTAAATCATTTATAGATCGATTCAACATTAGAGCCACAGCAATAATCGCATCATAAGAAAATGGAGCAAATTCTTCAGCCCCTTGAAAGAGGCTAGTGTTATATTTTTGCTGATATTGATGAAATTCTTTTAACCAGTCGGCTGAACTCTAATTAAAATAGATTAAATATCATCTTTTACGGTTTTAATTACTAGGATATAGATTTGCATTAATTTTGAATAGAGTAACTTTTACTATCATTCTCTACGTAGTCTAGAATTACCTGGCCAGAAACAGTTTTATCGGTAATACTAGGTGATGAAGCGGCATTAAAAGAGAAATGTCCATCTAAGGCTTCAGATAGAACGGAATCACTACAATATGACTCTGATAAATTGATAGTGGTATTTTTGATCCACCAATTTGGATTATGCCAACCGGATAAGATCCAAACATATTTACTAGTGGTCATATTTAAATGATAAGCCTACAAAATTGTAATTATATATGTTAGTATAACTTAACCTCTTATTAATAATTATAATTTGGGATTAGATCGTTTTTCTACGGTAGATGCAGTATGGTAGATACTAATTCATTAATCAGAATTAGTTATTAATTCAAAATTTAGACTTTATTCTAGTTTAGATGCAATATAAAGTACGATACTTAACGTATTCTTAGAATTTCTTAATAATTTGAAATTGGATAGTAAACTACTTCAAATACAATATCATGTAAACTGATTAAGGAATCATTAGGAATAGTTGGTGATTTAAAATTTTATGATATTCTAGTTTTAGATACAATATAATATATTAGGTTATCAATTATTAAGGACTAGATGCTCATTAAAATTAGATTATATTCTAGTTTAGATATGACGTAATGTAATAGTATCAGCATGCCAGCTCTTCAATCTTTAGAATTAGCTAGTAATTTGAGATTTAAACAATATTTTAGTTAAGAAGTAACACGATGCATACGTATACTAGTGCGTCAATTATTTGGATTAGCTATTAAGTTAAACAGTCTTTTGGATTATATAACGTGATGTATGTCCATTAACCAGTGATTAATTGACTCGAGAAATGTAGTACGCTAATTCATAGAATCGTTCATGTCTACATTTTACTTTGAGTCTGCACTTTATAATATACTGGCTAAAAGGTTAGCAGTACTAGAATTTTTCCAATTTATATCAAGATCTGATTTGAATACTGCAAGAATATTTTTGTATGATTTTGGTTTTTCTTAATTAAATAATGCATTAATACGTTTAAGAATAAAAGAAAGCTCTTGCCTTGATTAAATTTCAAGCTATCGATTTTCGAACTTAATTATGCTAACTATAGCTATCAGGTTTTGATACATTTACCTGGCAAATAACTTCTCTCGTTTTATCACTGAAGAGTTCAGCGAAAATAATCCGTGTTTGACTTTCCTAAAATCCAAAATACTCATCTTTTAAATAGCAACATCTTATAACCGCAAAAGAGACTTGATACATTCGAAGTCTTCAATTTCACACTGATGTAAAGGACTTCAGTTATTTAGAATAATTATATACCGTTAAGAAAATATATTTAATAGCTTACTTTAATTAAATTAATAGCTGTTACTAAATCTTCTTTAAACCTAACAGACATGCGGGTCGATACGGAAATGCCATGACTTCGTAGTCTTTCGACTAGTTTTGACATTCGCTAACCAATTGAAAATGGGATAAGATTCAATATTTCGTTAATTCAATTGTTAATGGTAATACTCTACATTTCACATAGTGCTCTAAAGATGTCGTGTTTAATGCTCTCTCTGTCTACAATTCAGATTGTTGTTACGGATATAATTTGAGAATATATTGGTTGGAATAGCTATCATTACCACTGAGAAACCAGACTGTAATTGATAAATGAGTGCTATTTTTTTCCATCCGAACCGATTGAGGAGTTGAATGATTACTGGATCGAGACTTGAGGAACTTGGATAAGTACGAAAGAAATTATGAAAAATTTCCCTGTTGCTTAAGACGGGAGATTCTGAGATGTAAGATATCTATAGAAACAAAATTGTATAAGTTACAAAATTACTGAACAGTTCCATATCTGAAAGAACTAGGGTAATAAATTGGAAATTGTCAATATCTACAAGATTTCTAATACTTTTACATTGGATAAGTACCTGTAAGAGATTGTACTGCTGGGATACTTTTGCCATGTATTCAGTGACTTGAGAACATGAAGCACCAAATATAAGAGTTTTATGCGGTAGCTTGGTTAGTGCTTCGAATAGGAGTTTTAAACCGTGACCAGGATCACACTGACAAATCCGATAATAATGCAATTGCGTAAATAATAATATTTATAGTATCTTAACTCCAGTTTTATAACGAATATCAATATTAAATGAATTCTTATATGCAGTTGAAATAGGTTGAGTTTGGAATTATTGATTTAATAGTTAAATTATCGGATTAAGTCAGCCTTTGATAATAATTTACTTATGTAAAAAGTCTTTACATGATTTAAGTTATCTTTTAACTCCAGCTCTATAACGAATATAAATATTCTATTAATTCTTATATGCAATTGAAATAGGTTTAGTTGATTTTCGAATTGTTCATATAATATAGTGAAAATTATATGAATTAAGCCAACCTCCGATAATATGAAATTATGTAAAAAGGCATTTATATCATCTAAGCCTGACTCTATAATTCACATCAGTATTCCATTAATTCTTATATCTAATTGAAATACGTAATTCGATTTTCGAATTATCCTTTTAATGCTATTAAATTTGTACCATTTAAACCAGCAACTATGAAACTCATTGTTTATGTGCTAATAGCCATGATATAAATCTTTTTAGTAGTGGTATTTTAACTAATATGTTACCATTATGAACGTAAGAGGCAAGAATTAAGTTATACTTTGAGATTAGGTAAGACAAATCATTTACATATTAGTATGCTCGCCTAGGGTGATAAACATAAATTTTTCCCGATATGCAGTATTGTTAGCGAAGCTGTAGTCTAATGAGTTAGAGGATACTACGCGGCAACTAGATTTTGCCTGTATGAATATCACTTTAGGGACGATTAAATCAAAAATGCCGAAAATACGATATTTCAATTAAAAAATTGTCATGAAAGGCACTTAAATGTCGTAACATACGGTATGCTCTGTAAGCATTCTATAGCTATTTAAAACGGTATTGGCTGAATCACAAACTGAAAAAGTAGATTTATTCTTTATAGATTTAAATAAATTGCTGATGATCAAAATGGTTGGATAGATTTGGAGGATGCGGCATTGATGAATCTGTGAGATATAAGTATTATTCGAAGGTTTGGTCACAAAGCACATATCTAACTACTTGAATTTATCATGATTGCGGAGCAGATAAAATTGAAAGTTTCAGGACTAGTTTTACATGCCAGTAGTTCTATCACTCTTGACTGAAGGATATCTACAAGCTGGAAAATTTTAAATTTGTAAAATAAACTTGATATAAACGGGAGGGAATAACCTCGTGAATCTTAGGTATAGAAATATTGTTAAGGGTGGTCGATTCGATTATCTGTTACTATCTATGCCTTCATTAATCAGGAGTATATTAATAATCTAAGAAATTTTAAAAATTTAGCTCTATTTTATTTATTTGGTACAACTAGTGATCTAGGTCACATATACCCATCACGAGGAGATAATTTATTTATCCAAGGATCAGTAGTAATATTGATCACTGAGAGATTAAAAAAGACACCGCAGGTATTAAAGAGAAAAATTCTATTTCATGAAGACTCTATTTAAGTTCTTTCAAGAATGATACATTAGTCTATCATAACAGTTACGCATAAAGTAGCGTAATTCTGAAATTCAGATCACACTTTCAGAGTCAAGTGCCTAATTCTACGTCAAATAGAAGAGAAAAATTACTGTTTTAAATATTATCAATATAGCAGCAGCTCAGATAGATGATATATACTACGCTATTGATCGTAACTCTCAATCACGCTAATCGAATATCGGCATGACCATTGCAGACTATCAATGAATTTTTATTTATTTTGATTGGTAGAAATTGAATAAGTTTAATTCTTATCTACTTAAATTTAATTTTAGTTTTACCTTAGTATCACCCCAATACAGATCAAGCTGATAACCAGGCAGTAGATTGGAACGATTATTGACGTAATCAACAGCCATCATGGCCGATACTAACATTTTACCGGCTTTCCAACCACCTGATAAGCTAAATGCTCCAGAAAGGATAATTTTCCTACGCTGATTATGGCCAGAACATATCCGAGTAGATAACACTAGCAAACATAAGAAGATCAAAATGACTCTACCTAGAAATTGCCTCATATTTTAATCTATAAATATGGGTGAAAAATACTTGGGATAGACTGCTAGAAAGAATTTATGTTTACCAATAAATTCCCAAAATGAAATTTTCTTAACCTAAAATAAGTAATAACATCGATTACACTAATTAAATCAAGTTAGCGGCAATATGCTCCATCATTTGGTACAATAAAATCTGGCATATTGTGATAGTCAAATTTATCTTGTTTTTAGATGGCTATTGTATGTAGTGATTTATTATTAAATCCATAATTGCTATTTAGTATTACAAGGAACGGGATAAAATATCCCAAGATATATCAAATAAGTTCTTATTTCATGTCTATTATCATGATAGTTATAAAGTTAACGGAGTATTTTAATCCTGAATAAAATTCATATCATTAACTTCTAGAATATGAAGAGATGGAGAGATATTCATATGCTTATTTAGCAACTTCCTAATTCTTCTATAATATCATGGTAGGTCTAAGTACTGTAAATCTACTTTGAGTACTATCACTAGGCTAATGGATTTTCAACTATGAAGCAGCTAGTTAGATACAATAAAGTTAATTTGAATCAAATATGATATTTATGAAGAATTATAGATTACTCGGATATAATTTAGATTGTATACTTTCTTAATAGAAAATCAAAGGGGCAAGTGTAAGTTTGGATTAGCCATTTTTAACTTTTCTCTGTTAGGGTTAGATCAGCTAGGGTAAAGTCAAGGTAGATATAGTTTAAATATAATCGTAATTGATAACAAGCGAATAAATATTCCGATCCATAAGGCAATATTAACATGAGAATAAACGTTGTTTATTTACTTGAGGTCTTAAAATTGATAATAATCAGTGAAGTAGGACATTATACGTACAGTAAATTAGAATGTTAGCTAATTTATGCCCTTGACCGCAGACAGAATATCAGTATCGAAGGTATTGAACGATAAATTTATGTAGCTTACATTTTCTAATTTTTTTCTAAGAGGTAAATTAGTGGTTTATCGTAGCTTCAATTAAAATGGTGAAATGTTGGTACAAATTTACGTTGATAAATAATATTTAATATGGTATAAAAACAAAAATACTCAATTTTGAATGAAATTCATAGAACAGCTGGCAATTTGAAATTTAGAGAGATATATATATATAAGGATTTTTTTACTTCCATTCGGCTTCGATACTGGTATAATTTCTATCATAATTACATTACTAAGATATTCATTAGTGATAAAGTTATAGCTCAATAGCTTGCCTAAAAACTGTAACAGTTGCCAACTGCAATAAAGCTTGTAGGATTAGTAATTATATGCAAGATTAAATAAATATTAATTGATGAAGGTCTGGAAAAATGCTTATTAAAGACTAAGCTTAAAGGACAGCTGGTAGTCTATAACAAAAGAGGATATATTAAGAATTTTTACTACCATTCAGCTCATTCAATATTGACGAAGTTTCCAACATAAATTATGACATATTGATAAGTACTAAAATTAAGGCTTAGATGGCTTGACTAAAGACTATTACAGTTTGCTAATCACGATGCAGATAAGGAATATCGATTAATAACATAATCGATCGGATATATATAATGTTAAGTCGCTGGGTATTGACTTAACCTACTGCGCTATTAATAATTACAGTGATATAATTTTAGGAGATAGTTTATATTGGATGCGGCTGGTGTTAGCCATCATCAAGTTGAATACATGCCATATAGTTAGCAACTTTCTTCATTTTAACTTGATTTATTACCAAGTAGATGTTTAATTTTTCTAAAAATAGAAATACCAAAGGATGAATATACCGGCATCATTGATTATTCATACAATCTAAAACACACGTAGATCATGTTTGAGGGTTCGATTGTACAGTTACGCCAATAGCTATTGGTAGCAGATCTGATTTATGTAGTATAGTAAAAGTGAAGAAGAAATAGATATTCTTGTTCCATTGCTTTTGAGACAATTTATCATCCATGAGAGCCTGTAAATTCTACCGTATTTGGCTTCATAAAGACATATCTTTTCTATTTTGAGTAGATGTTGAGCTATTGCTATCAAATATGCAATTGCCGATCATACTTTCTTCGTCACTTTGTATTTTTTGTGGAATTTTAAATCCGGGTATTTTTAACCTAGATCCGGATCGGGATAGCCATATAACTCTTCTTCGGATTTAGCGCTGCTTTGGCTTGAACCTACTAATTGTCGGTTCACGGTTAACTGCACGAATATTAAATAAGATAATAAGATTGGTTATACACATTATTGAAATACCCAAGTGAATTATTAATGGTTGCAAGGCATTAGTAATGTATTTTGTAAGTAATTTCTAGATTATTCGAGCCTAATTAAAGATCAATTTTCGATCTGTTCCAATTAAGATGCAAATCGATTTTTACTTACCTGTAATAATCTAGGAGGATCTTGGTGATGGGGATTGATATATATATGAGAGAGAGGCTTACCAACGACGGCTATTATGGGAATACGATAAGATGATTATAAAATTGAAAGATAATTAAATCCTTTTCTAGTAAATAAAGCAGTATTTAATAAGCTTACGAGTCTTATTTTTGCTATCATGCTCAAATAATCTAAAAAATCGAAGAAATAATTAATTTTAATATATTTAAAGTGATTTTGAGCTGATGAAATTATATGAAAGTATATTATCATCATAGCATTATGAGCTAGTCCATTTTATTGTTTACTATCGAAGTGAAGAAATCTCTTTATTTCATTAATATAATTAATGTGCAAGTTTAGCGGATGTTACTCTCCTATGATACTAACTAATTTTACTATATTTAATGTGGCAATAAATCTTTATTATCCACATTGCAAATAATTCATTTTTAGTTATAATTGATCAATATCATATACAATGAATTTTGAATGGATGAATATCCAATCTTAAGCATTATCAGAGTACTAACCTAGGAATTTCTGCACTTTTAGCTGATATAATCCATCTAGTATAGGCGAAAAAATATCAATTCGAGACAATATTAATGATATGAAATATATAAAAAGAGTAAGGATAAACTTAAATACAATAACAATAATTTACGTTGCAAATTTATGATAGAAAAACCAGCATAGATAAATGAATAAACATCCGCCAAATGCAAAAGCTGCAGCTAAAAGATCTAATGGAAGAAAAATTATGATAGCTATTATTTTCTTTGTTAAATCCGAGCTTTTAAAAGGCAAAAAGAAGCAAACTATGTACGTGCAATCGAGGTATCTTATAGATTATGTATTTACAGTTTTGAGCTTGAGATTTCAGAATTGTTGTAATTGACTGCCCAGTAGCATTTTGACTGATCTCTCGTGAGGAAGTAGGGACACTTGGTACTATTGATGTAGTATTTGGCAATTCATTGGTAATCTTTACAAAAGCTGGTAAGAGATTGATAGGTGATCCCCCTGCTTTAATAAAGTCTGGTGTTTGATACTGGATACCCATAATTGGGCAATTAATAAAATATGTTTGTTTTCTCAACATATCAGAACGTGATCTGATGCCGATATATCTATCCCTTTCTAAAATTTTGACAACTTTTAGCTCATCGTTCATATCCTTTTGTAGAACGATGGTATTATTGCTTATTGGTTCATAATAGCTGGTGTCGTTCTAATTGATAAAAAGTATCCAAAATTAGTATCTATTGTATTAAAGTATCAAATACAGTAATATTCTATTGTCACGATGCTTGTATCGCAATATGTAAAAATATTATTTAAGTTGGATTGTTAGTCAATTTAGAGTTATAAATTAATTCATTATAGATTAAAGGTAAGTGTGTCTGTCACATGCTTAATTTATTAGAAAGCTCAAAGGTCAGATCATGTTCTAATCGTAATTAATCTCATTTTATATGTGCTAACTAATTAACGTATTTTAAACCATTGCATTAAGTTATCTAAATTTACATATAAATATAGATCTAAGTATATAAAACATCTAATATTGTTTTATTTACTTAGCGAGTATATACTCTAGTATCTGCTTGTTAAAACAAGGCTAGAAGATATAAGCGAGGCCAATTCTTTTAAACAATCGCATTTATGATGAATATATACCGCCAACTAACGCTGAATAATTACAGCTATTAAACTGGCACTGTGTTGAATATATCTCCACATTTGCTTTTGATTAGTACACACACAGTCATATTAGGGTAATATGGTGATATCAATAAGTAAATATTGTAGGGCAATAGATAAAAATTGGATAGATCGAACATGAATAGGTGTTATCAAATATTCACGAATCATAACAATTGTATATAGGATAGAAGTATTAGTTAGTACAGCAAAATTGTAGTTATTATTTAGAATTATTTCAAAGTTAGCTAATGTGGCCATTAAGGCAGTTTACGAATTGCCTGTAAGTAACAATTTTGGAATAATAGGAATGATGCAACTATAAACTAGCACTGCAAAATTGAAGTTGCTATAGTCAGATTAGGATAATTACGGGATACTGGTAAGTAGAAATTTAGAGCAATAGGCGAGAAAGGCGTAGTTTCTACAAGAATAGCAAGGGTATGAAGACGCATAATAAAAATATAGAGTAGTGTTATAAATTAGATCTGTTGTTCCTATGACTCTATTTCATTATATTTTAAGATATAGTCAAATCGAGATATACGACAGCAAATATTTAGAAGGGTAGGTGATAATTGAGTATTTTAAGTAGTATAGAAGATTTGATGATATAGTATATATTAATAAGCTAATTCTATACGCTTTCCAATTAAAAGATCGCTGAGAATATCTGTGCAACACTTATTCACTATCAATAAAAATGATATTATTTCATTAAGTAAATGCGAAATTTAGTTTATAAGTTAATTTTAACAAATCGTTATCTGCTTACTTGCGTATGATTACAACGATAGTAATCTTCGAATCCATGGCAAGAGATGTTATGAATAACTTTACAGGCTGGAATATCCAAAAACAAGCATAAAATTATTGCATTCACATCTTTTATTAACTAGGCTATTATTACTTCTGGTGATGAACAAATTTAAGTAATATAAGTCATTAATTAGCATAACGACCGGCATATTAGATCTAAGTAATAGTTATATTGGCTTTAATAAAGATTTTAGAGTATTGTAGCTTCAGTAACAAGAAGGTCATATATTGCAGCTTATCAAGTCGTTCTAATAAAGAGTTTATCATCAATATTCATGAGTAAAAACGAAGTTTTACTGATTATTCTATCGTAATGGAATACTATCTTGAACTACTAAATATATTCATTATAATTACTAGAAATAGCTTAACCTACTTTATAAATATTACTTCGTCTTTACTTTTATCTATTGCGTGTAAAATGAATATTGTGTGTAAAATGAATATTGTCGTGTAAAAATGGATATTATTAGCTTCATTTTATATATAATTACCTCCTGTACCATCCCAGTAGGTAGGCTTGCTTGGTCCGCTAAAGTGTGATTTAGAGTAGAGTGCATACGCTTTTACTTGTGAGATAGATAGATGTCCCAGGCGAACTTCACATGAACAGCTCAATATTTTTTGACCGCATGAAATAAGGTCTTTCGGAGTGGTATCCAGTAAATTCTAGTTGATGATCCATGATTTAAATTATGATGAAATTCATGATCTTGTTTTATAGTATTACAGTAATTTATTTTCAATAATAAAACTTATTTAACTTGACCTTATCTTTATTATAAATAAGCAATATTCACAATATTTTAAGTAATAACTTAAATCAGGAATTATTCATGGCCTCATATAATAACTTTCAATATTAACAATATTTTAACGTTGCAGTACGTGCATAAGACGAACGATGAATCAGTTATGTTCATATTAAACTAAAATATTGCATCAAAAATACCTGATATTACTGAGGTTTGAATCATGGAGATTCTTCAACTCTGTGATATGTACCGTATACAACAAGCGGATTAAAAGATATTCATACAGTATTAATGTTTTAATAGAAAATTTATCATTATGTTACTTAACTAAACTTGCCTAATCTAAACTAATTTAGATTACCCTAGATAAGTAACAATGACTGAGAAATGCACTTTCAGAATCTTCTAACTATATCTTTATTCTAGAAAATGCAAGTCTAATTTAATATTCAAAATCAATCATTTAAATAGCTATTCTAGCCATAAAACTGGTTTACGATGTGTGATATATTTCGACCAATAAGACTTCGAGAATACATTAAATTATTCCTAGTCTAACCCAGTGAATATGTGATATTACTATAGATTAACTTTATGTTTGCCCTAGCTTATAATTAATAGGATTTATATTGAATTTGCCATTGACAACTCATATACTATATTTAGTATAATTTAACCTGTATTAGGAACAGGTTTGTATCGGCTATATTAAGTCATCAAATAATTCATGCACATATCCAAATTAATAGCTATCTTAACGTGATACATATACATGTCTAAATTAAGTAAGTTATCATCCATCACGGTAGATTCACACCGCGACACATTATTATCATTGCTAAGAATATTTATTTATTATTTTAAATTATGAATTATACTCGAAATAAGCACTAAATGAGTAGATGAAAATACCCCATATCTAAGTAGAATAGACCGAAAAATATCTATAGTAGATCGAGACAAGAGTAAATATTGCTTGAGTACGGATTGATTGGTAGTAAAGAATAAAATTAAGGGCTAGTTTAGAATAATTGTACCAATAATGATCAAATCATTAGAATATAAGACAGATATCATACTCTGATGAGAGGTTTATAAGTAACAGTATTAGTAAGTATTTGAAATCATTGTTTCGTTGATATCTCAACGACCAATGCCAGATCATAGAAATTCATTTATCTTATTATGAACGTTTTGTTCAGAATCCTCGCGCTTTAAAGTTATTAGTTTCGTCATGATTTTCCATCAAATGCTTGAATTACTCCGATTAGTGTTGAATCTTATTATCATGACGATTAAATTTTTGACCTATAGAGTAATTCCGATTGGTCAACAATGATTGTACGCAGATAGAATCTAAGAACATTTATGATATGAATCTGCAACTAATCTATAATATTAATAACGTTGATGGATTTAAGAAATAGTTATCTGTGGATATAAATATAAGCTCGTAGCCGTATGAAATAATAGATAGCAACCAATGATGATATTGATAATTGTCTCTTATTAATTGGAATGTTATGAAGATCTGTAAGGTAGTAGACAATTATATATCTGTTGCATAGGGGCCTTGTAATAATTGTAATGAAATAGTCATTACTATCCACGATGATTTTTCTTAATTTGAGCTCTATTACGTAGGCATACTACTGAACGAATGTAATAGCGGGAAAGGAAGCATAGGTCTAGGGGTAAAAACGTTTTAAATCGATAAACCTGCTACTAATGATGATGTTTAGAAAATGGAAGAAGCCAACAACAAATCATGATTTACAGTATATGTGCGTATATTTATTACTAATCATTTTATAGGCAAAGAAGATTCAATCTATCTTGTTTTTTTCTTTAATGATCATCAAGAATCTAAATAACCACGGAACAATTTAGGAATTTCGGTTAATTGGTAATTGCAGCAGTAATATGATGTTGGGTAATACTAACAAGTAGAATAGTCTGCTGTACAATCGTTATGTACTGTAATAATGTTATGAATCATTTTTCTAGACTATTTAGGATGAATGTAGACGATGGAATAGCAAGCTATAGATTCGAGCAATAAAAGAGTGCAATCCAGTTAACTTACTCCTCAGGGTGATAGTCAAATAATCTAATATATAATTCAAGAACAATCATGATACGAGTAAGCTATTTTATTGCCGTTTAATGTAAAAATTAGGGACAAACTTAACGAAGAGAATATAAGATACGGGATCTAGGTATGAGAAGGATGTAATCTAGGTTGTCTATGTTTAGTAATCATCATTAGATAACCCAGATATGGTGTTATTATTAATGGTCTTACTGGGCCAGTCATAAACGATAGAGCAGGAAGTATATCGTAGAGATAGTAGACAAAATCGTTTCGAACTTGTCTATTTTAGTCCATCAATCATCAGACGAACAATCATATGTCAGTTGCATGACCAAATTAGATAAAAATTCTATAGTTAACAATGCAGTTAAATCATTTTCGATATAGTCGATTGTAGTGATTCATTGTTTTTAATTAAAGATTCAGAAAAAAATTCCGATAAAGTCATAATCATAAATGCTATAGTGAATTTATTGCTATAACAAGAAAGGGAGTAACATTTATGGTACGCCCTTTTCATTCTTAGCCTTTCTATTATTCTTTCTTATCATTGTTGTTATGATGATGATCAAAATAATCATTCCGTATTATTAGCTTAACTGTTAATTAAAGTAAAGGCTAGTAATCTAACAGTAAAAAGATATAGCTTCATTATTATGGGGGATTTTGGCTAAAGGAAGCGTACATAATTCTATCCAATTCTAATAATTAAGGGCTGTAATAGATTGGAATTATCTGATTATGAATCACATCCGATAAGATGATGGGGAAATTGACACTAGATGAAATAACTATTTTGAG